GGTGATATGATGCGGAAGGTAGCGCTCATGTGACGTTTGACATGCATGAAACCCTGGTGGCAAAGCTTGTCTTTCCCGCGGGAAGACTTAACGATTGTCGGGCACTCCGACATGCTGCTTCTGGAGGATTCCTAGCTCATGACTTCGGTTCAAATGATTGGATGTTGCTGAACTTTGCGTGTTTTTGTTGATGCCGTCAATTGTCGCATGCACGCTTGCCAAAGGAAGCTGGGGACGTTCCACTTGTTGAGAACCTCAGCTGCCGAGACCAGGATTGAGGTTGCTGAAAATCGAAACGCTTGGATACTCGACTCGGGTCTTCTCTGGTATGCCATGTATAGAGACGAGCTGAATACCCATACATTCAGGGAGATACATCCGTATTCTGCATCCCGCCCACGAAGCCGACTTCCTCGTTGTAACAAACCCTGAAGCCTTCCCTCATAGATCTTTCGCACAAAAAGTTTTCTCCGCGCTTGAATTTTCATAGCGCCCGAATCCACAGGCGCTAGACGCTACTCCCAGCTCCAATCTACGTGCGCTCAACTGTACTTCGCGCTGAGATCCAGGGCAGCTCGAAATTCCTCTGCGCTCAATGCTACTCTGCGTTCAGATCAACTTTGCGCCGAAATGCACAGTCGCTCGAATCTTCGATGCGCTCAGAGTGTATGGCACAGGGTTTATTGTCTTATTGTCGGCCTTTCTATCTTCGTAGGCTCCGTTTGCATTTTCATCGAAGAGTACGAAACGGGTTCGAAGTTTAAAAGTTCGTGTTCATCGTACCGACGGGTGGTCAAGTGGTTACCGCGTTTGTCGCTTCTCGTGCAAACGTGCGTTTCACTTCGTGAAATGCCGCAACGACGCCGCTCGCGCGGGAGGCGGTGTGGGTTCGGTCCCTGCTGCCGGAAAAATATTCCTTCCGGAAACGCAGGTACTCGGCCTTGAACTCCTGGGTACATTTGCTCTATGGATCCGTCCTCGGAAGCAATGTGAATAACAGTACCCGGGACGTTAAACCTTGGCTGTGTGGTTCAGCCCGAAAAAGTTAGGGACTGGCCCATTATATTCATTGTGTTTCTTGAAGACCTTCCCCTCATAATCACGGCATATACGCTTCTTCCACCAAGCGCGCCGACTCTCATGTTAGTCGGGTGATAGGGTATTAACAAATAAGTCGAAGTTGCCCGTCCAAAACCCGGGGTTGCCCTCATAGATGTGGACCGATAAGTGTGGTTGCCGATACTTCGGTTTGAGATTCTTGTCACAGTCGCGTTATCGCGACCACACGCTTATCGTCGCTTCAAGATGGCGACTGGGTAATGTTGACGATCGAGACTGATTGGCGATGCGGACGCTTCGCGTGAAGCGTGAACGTCCGTCATCGATCTCCGAGCGCCTATTTTTTGAGCTTCAGTGCAGACCGCCGCGCGGAGTATTTATTTGTTGAATCTGACGGATATCTACCCATTTAAATTATAAGGATGACATTAATTACAATAGCAATAAATTCCAGCCCCTAATGAGCCGAGCTCTACTATATGATTATGTAATTACTCTAGCCTCGGCGAATGGTGATTGTTTGTGTTGTATGTGCCGTGGTGTTATGGTCGCAACGGAACTCCCGAGGAGTCCGTTCGTGACAATCGCCTCCTTGTCGAGCCAGCTCTTCTCCTCCGGGACTCCCTCTTTCATCGTCAGCCAAAAGCCCGCGGAGGTCCGGCACTGTAAGATTCGAGATCATGTATTCAGTGACTCCAGAGCTTGTTTGCCATCAATGGCAACATTCGATCAATATTTTCACTGCGAGAGGTCTCGACCTAGACGTCTCCCGCTGATGTAAGCAACAACGAAAGAACGGCTCTTTCAAGAACGGAATGATGCTTGCTAATGAGTACCGTTCTGGAAACGTATGTTAGACAATGGAGGAGCCGTTCCTCAAGAACGCTAGGGAGAAGCCTCTATCGGTATAAATATTGAAGGAATTGTTTGTGCGAGAGACGAGTCCGCGAGAGGCGAGAGAAGACCTTCATATGAGAGATTGGTAGACGGCGACAATGATGACCGTGATCTATGTCTGGCGCAAGACCGGAATCGGATCGCCCTCTCAGCTCATTCCACGGTTTTCCGATCATGAAGTCTCGCGACGCTCTGCCACCCGTGCGGTCGTGATTCGTGATGAGTCTTCCGTGTCTGCAGACTGCAGAGCAATGTATTGATATCCGCAGGATCGAGCTCTCGCGAGATACCACGAAACGGTGATCTCTGAGTCCTGGGGATCCTCCCATTGCGGGTTGCGGGGACGTCTGGCAGCTCAACTTATAGCACGGGACACCTCCCACTTGGGTCATTTTGTGTCGCAAGTTGGAGATCTCATAGCGAGCAATCAGATCGTGAAACACGCTGGGCTGGAGATACAGAGGAGTATGCGGCCGCACAATGGTGAAATTCTATTTGTTCCTGCTCAAAAGGGGGCGTATTGTCCATTGCACCTGTGTTTTATTAATCTTTATTCGGAGGATGGATCGATCGATTGAAAGCCTGGCCTAGAGAACAGAACGACGAGCTAGCGAAAGGTTCTTGTCTCGTCTGGTAATCTCGTTTTTCCTCATCACAGGATGTCAGATTGCATGCGTTGAGAAAGCGAGACTGTATTCGCGCAGAGAGGCCCAATCTTACATGTGGAGAGCTGAGTATATGAAGAGAGTACAATTTGAGAGAATCTCTTCTTCGGGTGTCGCAAGACTTTAATTATCTTCATTCATAATTCACCACGCGTTTCGATCGCACCTTCGAAGATCACAAACTGAGATCATGTTCCTGCATGAAGGCTTCCCACGGCTTGCTTTTCTCGTAGAAGTGTTGCACCCATAGTTTCCTCGAAAAACGGTCATCATCGAGGGCCGCCTGACTGTACTTCCGACTATGCCGGGCCTTACTGAACGCTCTTTCAGCCGCAACACTCGTCGGAGTGAGGGCGTCGAGCAAAGCGGTCATTGTCTTTGGCAGCTGCACAGAGTCCCCCGCATACTGCATGAGACGGCGGGCACGCATCAGGGGTTCTCCCAAGGAATTCGCTCTTCTCGCCTCGCTGCTTGCCTTCCTCCTGTAACTCTCGAGGTAGTTCTCGAAGGACGCCGCTGGATTCTCGAGTACTTCGTCCTGTCCTTCTGCCAGTGAGTCGCTCTCTGCAAGAACTTACGCGATATCCTCAGCCAATTCCGTCGTCTCCTCCCATCCGTCCAGAGATAGCCGGGGCCCGCGCCTTCTAAGACATCGTCCAAAGCGGACCTCCGCTTTGCGACGTGTTGGTAAACGGCGCACCGCGATGCCGCGGTTCTTCGCTTGGCAATGTGCTTTCTCAAAGCCTCGCGGAGTGTTCTTACGAAAGGCGAATGTGCAGAACGGCATAAGTTTTCCAGTTGGACGAACATGAACTGTTGGGAAGAGCGATATCAGGTTCTGACACATCCGATTGCACACATTTGTATCGACACGATGTACTATGTACTATTAACGATTATATTGGTTTAGTCAAAAAGTTCGTAGCACTTTTCATTCTGCACAATGAGAATGTGCTACGAAGTTTTCGACTTACCCAATATGTAATATGAGAACTCCTTTTTTCACCTCGATCGTGATATCCGCTTCAAATAAAGTGGCACTGTCCTTTGAAAGTCTTAGGGAAGCTTCCTGGACACACTCAAGGGCAGGTGTGATGCTGTTGATGGAGTTCAACTCCTCTCTTGTCAAGGGGAAGCTTTCTCTTCGTTCTTCATAGTAGGCTTCGAGTGCCTTTTCCAGTTTCACAAATTGTACCAGCATACGGACGGTGCTGTTCCATCTGCGCGTACAGGAGCACGATTAGGGAGAGAAGTTAATGCGCACGTATCGATTCGTGAGTTAGGCCTAAAGATCGAGAGATCGACTTCGTAGTGGATTGCGGAAGTCACCTCCGACTTAGAAGCCTAGGTATCTACGAACTACATGGAGAGGATCGGCGAACGAAGGGTCGGTTCACGGTGAAAATATCGCGCGGGTGAAACTTTCGCTTCCGTATGAGAAATGCGGAGATTACATCCCGCCTGTGTTAGATCACCAACCCACGACCCACGGCATCGAAGAGCTATTCTCGTGTCGTTCGCATTGGGTAAGATCAAGAGCACACCTTATGGTAACGTCCGGCAGGAGCTGTAGGACTTTAGACCCTGGGTTCAGGCGTCGGCATATACGTTCAAGATCATCGCCTTTCTTTCCGCTTGCTTTAAAAGCCTTGGAGATGCAGCGAACTTTCTTGATGACTTGCAGAAGGTTCGAGGAGTCATTGATTTCAATACCTTGGCCTGCCCCCTGCGTGGGATTGACTCCGCTTTCTTCTACAGGGTAGTCACCTTCGCCATACACATCCAAGAATATGGTATCCCTCTGGCTTGCATCTGCATGTGCATTTGGGTCGCTTTGAGAGCTCCCCTTGAGCGCTTCGAGCACGGCTAGGTGGATTCCGTGAG